TTTTTTTTTATATTCTTTTACTATATCCAAGAAACCGGCGACAGATGGCGCCCAACGTAATTTTGGAAAGGAAGACCTGGTTTCGTTCTTGATAGCGTCTATACCATATAACCAGTTTGCAGAAACGGGATATAGGAAGGAGCTCTTCTCCGAAGGAGGGAATAAGAGTGCAATGGAGCGGACAAACAAGGAACCCAGGACCAGTACCGTACGCGTGTGAAACTTTGCCTCGGCATGTTGACAGTACGAGGGATATTGTGGTATTTTGTGTGAACAGTGTTGTAAACATATGTAATTGTTTGGTTGTAAGGGTAGTGTCGTTGTTGTAGGTATGTGCTCGTGGCGCGTGGACGGAGGTAGACCATGTAGTTATACAGCATATGCCATGTTTTGAGTCCGAACTACGTTTATTTGTAGATATATACCTATTTATCGCTAAGGGTACGATATTGGCATGGAGTTGTGACAGAACATTGACAGAAAATTGTTCTAACTGTTCTAATATTTTGATTAAAAATACAATATATTTAGTATTAACAGCAAGTACAGAAAGAAGTTTGCAGCAGTGTAAACATATTTGCAGATTTGCAGAGCTTGTGTGTGAGTAAAAAGTAATTAAGTATGAAGTAGTACAAAATTAAAGAAATCTTGTAGGTAGGGGGCTCCCCAACCACTGGAAAGTTCTCGATTTATGTCTACTAGCTTATCAATCTTTCTTATATACTTATAGGCTGGTATAAAAATATATGTGAAAAAAACCTTGTAGGTTGTTGGTTCCAAAACTACAAGGTTTGTTCTCAGACAAATGTGATTGTTTTCAGGTTTGATATTTGTGTGAATTTAAGGTTAACGGAGATTACAGACCTCAGGGAGATACTGTTCCCAGATCACGTGGGTAGCATGGAATCTTTTACCTAGCTGTATTATATATACAGCGTGTATTGATAGTTATTGTGTGGTAGGTAGGTTATATTTGAGGGACCTTGTCGGTAAGGATTGGCCCCACCACTATATAACTTATTGTTATATTTGTTGAAAGGTAGGCTATATGTGATTATGTGAATAAACTTGTCGGTAGGGATTGGCCCGACCACTTGGTAACACCTTGGATATATAGTAGATAGTGATATATATATACCTAAAACGGAGTTCCCATGTGCATGTCTTGTAGGTAGGGGATGCTCAATCACCTGTCTAGCTTGGGCAAGTATGGTTGATCTTTTATATTTTGTGTTCAGATTAGTTTTTTGTCATTTTCTAAATATAGTTGTTTTTTGTGAATATTTGTTAGTTAAAATGGCTGGAAAAAAATGTTCAACCACAAAGGACTTGAGTCCTTAAGGGAGACGGGGAGGTATGTTATTACCCCGCTTTCTGAGAAAGCAGTTAGCACTCCTAAGGTTATTCCACAAAAAGATCCATATTTAGGAGAGTTTGAGGATGAGGAAGATGAGGCCCGCTTACATAGATTTACCCACGTACCTAAGATACCTTATTTTTCTGGTGATGATTCACCACAAAAGGGGGATATCACATTTCAAGAATGGCGGTTTGATCTTCATTGTCTTGCCAACGACCCTGAAATATCAGAGAGCCTGCAAGTGCAAGCAAAAAGGCGGTCGTTACGGGGAACTGCCCGTAAAATGCTTATAATATTGGGGAAGAGGGCCTCAGTTCTAAAATGTTAGCCAAATTAAAAACATTATTTGGGGATATATCAACCAACGGTATGCTTATGCAGGAGCTTTTTAATTGCTATCAGAAACCAGATGAATCAGTGTCAGTCTTTAGCTGTAGACTAGAAAACATGTTGCAGTTAGCTATTGACAATGGATATCTTGACAAGAAAGCAAAATGTGAGTTGCTAAGGCACAAATTGTGGACGTCTTTATCTTTAGACAAGCTAAAGAGTCAAACCAGACACTCATATGATACTTTGAAAGATTTTGATGACCTGCTCAGGGAGATTCGTAGGGTTGACAAGGAGATAAGTATAAACAAGAGTACAGGAAGTGGTGTCACTGCTACCTATACAGGTAAGAAAGCCCAGCAAAATGTGATGTCAGGTGAACAGACTCAAGAGCACGCTTTGTTCGATCAAGAGAAGAGGCTCAATACTTTAAATATTCTTGAACGTTTAGAAAAACCAGAGGGCTGGTGACAATAACAAAGGTCAGAGAGGCAGGGGAAACAGGAAGGTCAAAGTTAGCAGATATGTCAAGGTCAAAGACATGGTCAAAATGGAGCTATTTGACAGGGTCAAGGTATGTACAGCCTAAACGCGTAAAGGTCGCTGCTGCTGGCCAAGCTGGGACCTGTAATGTACAAGGACAAAGCCAACATTTTCTTATTCGAATGGTAAGTGTGGCAAATGAAAGCATAGTGAGTATCAATAACTGTGAGATGAAGGCGTTAGTGGATAGTGGATCTATGGTGACAACCATATCAGTCTGGTTACCTTAATTTAGAGGATAAACCTGAGTTATTGAGTTTAGATGATTTAGGCTTGGAGGTATCAATCGCGGATAGTTCTAGTCTAGGATATATGGGTTACATTGAGTGTGTTTAAACTGTACCATGCTTTTCTAATGATGATATTAGCTTAGTTATACCAGAGGCATGGCAGATGGCTACAGAAAGTATTGCCTGTAATACTGCAACAGAAAAGACTTTATCCAAGAAGGAAATACATATTGCTCCATATGAGTCTGCAATTGTTGACTGGTTAGCCAGAGGTTTAGGCGGTCACATGAGTGAAGGGGTAAGAGAAGGCTTAGCCGAGGGTGCAGGTTTTGAGGTATGTCCTAAATTGGTGAATCAGAATAAAAATGTAGCAAGGGTTCCAGTTCAGATATGTAAAATTACATTGAAACCTATAATACTAAAACCAAAAGGGAAATTAAGTGTCATTCAGGCTGTGTAAATAGAGGATAATTTAGCATCTGAAATAGGTGGACTCTCTAAGGTTGAATCAGATTATTTTAAGGATTTAGGTGTTCAGTTAGAGGAGGAAAACTTAACTTCGATACAGGCTGAGTCAAAAGCAGTGATTGAGAGTTGGCATAAATTATTGCTACGGGATCATTGGATTTAGGAAGGGCTAATAAAGTGAAACATAAGATAGAGTTAGAGGAAAGCAAGCCAATTAAGCAATCTTACAGGAGGATACCCCCTGTAATGTATGAAGAGGTGCGCCAACACGTCAAAGACATGTTACAGTCAGGTGTAGTTAGAGTAAAATAGTCCTTTCACATCTAACGTAGTTTTACTGAGAAAGAAGGACGGATCTCTACAATTCTGTATTGACTCTAAAATGGGCGGATTGGTCTAGTGGTAAGCACTCCTGCCTTTCACGCAGCAAGAATTGTATTGGTTAATGTATATGCTAATTGTATATCTATGTACTGGAAAAAGGCATGTTTTATTCAGTTTATTACATACTTACTAATGAAATACGGATACATCTACTTTCTTATGATCTACTTTTCTTTTGAAATATTAAAAAATGGAAAAATTTCAAAAAGGGGTTTTGAGGGCTATTTTTGGGTGTTATAAGGCGAGAGCTGATATGGGTTAGAGCAATTGGGACATATCGCATATACAGCAACCCCATTTTTATTAGTAAGTATGTAATAAATTACATATATACCCCGGATACATATATCTATATCTATATAAAAGCCCGTGTCATGCCGTTATGTTTGTTGATTTAAACAAATGTACAAAAGATCACTGAAAGTGTACCTTCGATGTTAACAAACTCACATACTTAACACTGCGATATTGGTTTGTTTTCATATCTAAGGCAAACAACTACACTAAAAGGATCCCTGTCCTTCTGCAGACAAAATACTAGCGAATCCCGGCCACTGTGTTAAGTACCGTTCTTTTTTGTATAACTGTAGCGCAGCCAGTTGGACCGATACTCTTCCTTAGAGTAGGTAGCTCAGTAAAAACAAATAACTGTATAACAATTTAAATCCCAGGGTTCGAATCCAGGTCTGGTCCAGCAGAACTTTTACAATCATAACGCAATCAATCGTTATTTATTTATACATTTTTTCATCAAAATCTAGCAAGGAATGGTTTTTCTTTTCAGTAAAGATTTATCAAAGCTATGAAAGTAGTGATTTACAAAACATCTGTAAAGCATACTGTATTGGACATGCCCTTCGAGTGTAAATAAAACGGATGTTCCATGTGAGACCTTCAATTGTGCTGTTTGTACACATGTGGTTAAATCCGTTCCATCCAGTAACAACCTATGTCTGAACACCTCAAATTGGCGACGAGGATAAACACAAAGGAATCAGGAATGCTCAGGCAATCAATTTGTCAGCCTTTAGAGTCAGATTTATAACATCAATACGGTAGGATTTCAATGGAGTAAATGGACAAGATCATTTGACCTCAACGCAAAAGGAAAAGAGTTAAGTAAACCAGCCCTAAAAAAGCTGTGTTACTTTAATGTGCAGGAGAAAAAGTACAAGATATAGTTTATACTCTTGCACAAAGAGAGTCTGGTAAACACGAAGATGTTTATACTGTCACTAAAGCTATCTTAGATGAACATTTCGCCTCCAGGTTAATGTGTCATTTTAACGGTCACAGCTTAGATCAAATTTTCGAGATGCATCAGAAACTGTTGACATTTTTGTAACTCAATTTTACTTTTGGAAATGGGGTTGAAAAAATGATATGTGACCAAGCAAGTTATCGAGAAATGTAGTTCGTCACATCTGAGGCGGATTTCTAGAACAGAGAAATTTAACTGCACAAAGAGCAATAAATTCAATGAAAAGATAGAGGAGACGAAGTGAAACAAAGTACTAAATGTACACATAAAAATGGTGTTAGTTGTCAGAATTCGATGCAATGTTATACCTGTGGTAACATGGGTCACATAAAAAAGGATTCGAAATTTCCAGCCAAGGACAAGAAGCACCGAAAATGTAAGACTGGTCATGTTTTTCCGGAAAATCTTGGAAAAGGAGAGGTAACCCGAAGAGCCATGTGAAACAAGTTCATAGTAACTCTGACACAGACAGCGAGTATTCATTTGGTGTACCTACTGAAGAATCAATGCAGTTTACAACTGTGAAAGTCGAAATTGGTGGAGTTTCTGCAGACTTCATAACTGATTCAGGTGCTACTGTAAACATAACCAGTAAGGGCACTTGGGAAACGTGGAAACAGGAGAGAAATTTAAAGAATTAAAAGATGAGGATATTAAAGAGCCAGTTGGGGGACGAAGTAGCTTGATATCCCGGTGGTGATGGTGTCCAAACCTAATGGAGATATACGCTGATGTGTGGATATGAGGCAGGCAAATCGAGTTGTAGCTAGGGAAAGGTATCAAACCACTACGGTCGAATAAGTGGTCCAAGTACTAAATGGTAGCTACGTGTTAAGAAAACTTGATATTGACAAGTATCATCAGATTGAATTGGCAAGTTATTAAAGAGGAATCGGTCAAGAGGAATAACAGCATTAATCACTCTCACAAAGGTGTATTTCAATATAAACGTCTAATGTTTGGAGTAAGCTGCGCATCCGAAATGTATTACCGTGTTTTGACACTGGTATTGGATTAATGTAAAAGTGTGAACAGTATGTTCGACGACATAGTGGTGCATGGTTCATCAAAGGAGGGAGATGATGATAGATTAGACAAGGCATTATCTGTACTCCAGGAAAGATGCCTGACCCTGAACTATGAGAAGTGCAAATTCAGTCTTCCTAAAATTGTATTGATGAGCTACTTTTGGTCAGCAAAAGGAATTGGGTAATCAGACACCAAAGTTGAGGCAATATTTAATGCTCGACAACCGGAAACTGCAACAGAAGTAAGCATTTTCTTGGCTTGGTATAGTTCACAGGCGGACTTATCCAAAATCTTGCGACACTCATTGAACCCTTAAGGAAACTAACTCAAAGGGAGGGACCTTTGGTGTGGAACATTAAACAAGAATCGGCTATTCAAAAGATTAAAGAGAACCTAGCAAGTACTATAATGTAAAGCATACTTTAAAACTGGTGCTAAAACACAAATAATAGCTGATTATAGCCCTATAGGATTAGGAGCTGTTCTTGTACAAGAATAAGATGGTCAGCAACATGTGATATCATAGTTTGACTAGTGTGGAGCGACGCTATTCGCAAACCGAAAAGGAGACGCTCGCCTTAGTATTGGCATGAGAACGTTTCCTTATGTACAATGTACATATATTGCATAGACGTTTAGTTGTTCACACATCACAAACCACTTCAGTACATATTCACAGACTCATCTTAAACCTGTGCACGCGTTGAACGATGGGTATTGCGATTACAACCCTATACCTAAATAGTGAGACATGTGGCTGGTCCTAAGAATATAGCAGACTCCCTATCAAGATTGTTGCAAAAAGATCAAGGGATACAACTCAGTCTTACTAAAACTGAGGAGTATGTAAAATTTGCGCTGGAAACGAGCATAACGACAGCAATGACAATACAGGAGATTGAGGAGGAATCCCTAAATGACACAAATCTTCAAAACATTAGGGAATGTCTCTTAAAAGGGAAATGGCATTAACTTGAAAACAAGGACTTCCTCTTATTGAGAGATGAATTGTGTAGTGCAGGTAATATTTTTCTGCGAAGATCCAGGATAGTGATACAGAAGTCACTGCAAAGCCGCATCCTAGAATTAGGTCATGGAGGACATTCGAGTATTGTTCTGATGAACCAAAGGTTGAGAATAAAGGTGTGGTGATCAAAGATGGATCATGGAATAAATGGCTATTGTACAAGTTGTTTTGGATATCAACTAGTTAGTACACCCTCAAAACCAGAACCGAGGAGTCGTACAGACTTTCCATCCGGACCGTGGCAGCCTATTCCTGTAGATTATCTTGGACAACTTTCAGGAGATTATCTTCTTGTATTTGTAGACTATTATTCACGACGGGTTTAAGTCGTTACTACTAAGTAAGTCTACAACAGTAGAGAAAACTGTCAAAATGTTTTAGAAATTACATTTTAAGTGAGCTGTTTAAAAAGTACACCAAGGAGACTGACATCAAACAACACAGTACAACCCAACTGTGGTCTCAAGCCAACGGAGAAGTAGAACATTAGAATAACCCAGACAGAACACAGGAACTCGAAAGAAGAGCTACAAATTTACATGTTGATGTACAGATCTACACCACATTCTGTTACTGGAGTCAGCCTAGCAGAGCTCTTATTTGGCAGGTAAATCAGGTCAAAAATGTCTGATCTGCAGGACTATCATTCATCAATGTCAAAGGACATCGAGGTCAGAGATTGCGATTCAGAGAGGAAAACTTCAGGAACGTAATATAATGATGATAAACGCAGAGCACTAGAAAATGAAAGCAAAGTAGTTGATAAAGTGCTAGTAAAACGACCACGTGAGATAAAACGTTTGCAACATTTTTTTAAGAGCCTGTGAAAGTTGTAGCAAAATGTGGAAATAGTATGAAATTCGATATTTTTGAAGACATACAACAAAAGGCACATGAACAAACTATTTTCGGAACGCGATACAGAACAGACAGAACGCGATACATGACGCGATACATAACGCGATACAGAACAAACAGAACGCGAACCTGAACCTAACGTACAAAGTAAACCGCGAGATGTGTTGAAGGAAACTGATGATAAATTTGATTACGAAATAGAAATAAAAGACACAAACATTGATGCTTATGTGAATGAAAGACCTTAAGACGGTCAACGAGATGAAAGAAAGTTTCTTTACAATTAAAAGACTATGCTATGACTTATAATTATAATTATAAATATATATTCAAAGGATTGTCCATCTTATGAATTATCTTAAGGACTCTGTGTGTTATATTGTGTTCAACATTTATATTTTATGTTTCAACTGTTTTCAAAAGACTGAAAAAAATGAACTTTTCATGTACATATATATTGATAATGTGTACAATATCAAGTTGGTTCAACTCAAACTCTATTAACAGTTATAATTCATTCTGTCCACAACTGTTCTAAAAACGAGATATTTTTTCATTGTTTTTCAAATGTTTATTGAGTATAGGAAATAACCAATAATAATAAGTCATACTCAGTTATTGTTTCCTTGTTGAAACGTTTCAAGTATCAGTAATACATAAACTCTGGTTTTGATTAAAAGGAGAGATTGTAGTGATGTACAAGTATCTTTAAAGCATATTGTATTTGACATGCGCAGTGTGTGTGAACAAACCGGACGTTCCATGTGAGACCTGCATTAGTGATGTTTGTACTTTGTACAGACGTTGTTAGATGTGTTCCATCAAGCATCATTCTATGGCTGAACACAAGAATAGAGATGCCTAAAAATACGGTTTCCAAAGCGTACTTACAAATTAATCATTTGTTCATGGAAAAATGGAAAAAGGCTGCCTTACCAGAGTCACTTACCCCTGAGAGCTCATGATGTTAACTAACTTCTCAAATGTAGGTTGATTCTTCTCACAACAGCTAGGAAGAGTTATGTTCTATTTCGGGTTCGCACGGACTTAGATCTGGAAAGCAATTATTTTCATTATATACCCTGTGAATAAGCATTTAAGATGCATTTAGTAAGTCAATAAAGAAATTCAAACAGTTAATGTGCCAAACTACTATTGTATTTATTTAGGTACATCATTTATATACGGAAGCCAGTACGTCGTATTTACGACATAGCTAAGTCGTTATCACGAGATAGTAAGTCGTTATTACGAGATGACTGAGTCGTTATTACGAAATAGTAAGTCGTTATTACACGATATAGCTAAGTCGTTATTAGAAGATAGTAAATCGTTGTTAAGAGATAGTAAGTCGTTATTACGAGATAGCTAATTCGTTATTACGATATAGTAAGTCGTTATTACGACATAACAATTTTTTCTCGTACTTGCTTCCGTAGTATTACTAAAATCAAAAGAATAACATTCGTTTCTAAACTATTCAAAAACACAGATAGAAAAGTGGTAAAAGAGCCGTTATAAATTGCGATGATTTTTCCGAATTAACAGATCATTTATTCATTAACAAGCATTTAGAGGAAATAGTGATAAAACAAAAACCATCTATAATTATGCATCCATTCTGTGATATCGAGAAGTGATAATCTGACAGAAAAAAGGTTGAACACCTATGTATACAATAAGTAAGTCGACACACTGCCAAACAAAACGAACGGTTACTGCGACATATAATCCATTTTGTTATTATACATCTACTTTGTTTTGATATATTCAGCTTTTACGATTTGTTTTGATCATCTTAGGCAATTCTGTTGTCTAAAGACTATTCGGGGGATATATACCTAACAAGCCTCAGTAACATATTATTAGATTCTTAGTTAAACAAATTATTTTGAGTTCTATCAAAATAAAGCTTGAAGTAGTCCTTGTTGAGTTTTTTGCATTTGTCATTGTGGGGAGGTTAAAGCAGTTTTGCCTTGTTGGTTCCTGCAGCATCATAGAGAGGTAGGGGAGTCGCTTTTCTATTTCCCTGGACAGGTGCATCCACACTATTCCGCGTTTGAGACATCCTTGTTTCACCCTAGAGTTGAGACGAGGGTTTCCCCTATTTATAACAATGGTATGCCGTCAAGTAAATAATGCAATGACGTCACGTCAATAATCCATCAACGTCACGTCAACCCTGAATAAAGCCTGTTACGCAAACATTACTTTACGTTTATGATACGCAACGGGAGAACGGGGTAAGAGAAAAGGAATCATTCACCCCCTTCAGGATGAGATAGGTAAATATCAACCCACGGGAAAGATTCTTAAGTTGCCAAACACTCGACAAAATCTCATCCTAGGTGTTCCCATATTAAGAAAAATTGTATGACGTCACGTCAACAATGAAACAACGTCAAATAACCCCTGCATTTAGCCTGTAACGTTAATATTACATTATTCATATGATATGCAATGAGTGAACAGGGTAAGAGAAAAAGAATCATACGCCCCTTGAGGTGAGATTGGGAATATGATGCTTATTATACACAATAACATTAGAGGTTTGCTCCCAGGCGTGGGAAATATATGTTGATAGTTAATGTTTGACAGTTTCAGAGGAACGGCGCGTAAGAACAGAGTTGCTTTATTAAATTTCTTAAAGATTGAAAGAGGTTGACTAAATGGGGCAGGCCACTGTTAAACAAATTATGACTGCTCGCTTTAAATCACACAATGAGAAATGCCGCCTTTGGTTGCGATGAAATTGATATATAATGAAAACAATTCTAGTCTGTTGAATGATATACATCTGCGTGTTGCACAACTCACCAAGGTGTGATGTATTATTTCTTTTATTTAGAGAAACGCATATCGTGTAATTGAATATTGCATGGATCTACATTTGTATTAGCCATTATATGTGCAAGTATCAGGTACACTGTACTAGAATAACAATTCCAAAGAATTTATATCCTTTTCATATTTAAGTGTGTTCCTTAAAATTTGTGTAAATGAGAACGTTTTGAAATAATGAAATGGCCCAGGTCTAGTCGTGACACATGAACAGTGATCCAGAAAAAAACGCCCACATTATAATCATAATGTGTGAAAGAGGTTGTAACTATGAGCTATGGTGCTGAACACATCCACCAAATAATCATGAGATAGACTGTGAATTATTTGTTGCTTGGTATCAACTTTACCAATAACACAATTGACACATATGTGATGAATTGTGAAGTGCCTGTGAAAAGGGCGAGTAACCCCCCGTTATACATCCACAGGTAATAGGCTATTGACATATATATTGACCTATATATGTAACTTTTATACGTTTTTGAGTAGTTTTAACCAATAATGAATGAAAGTGAAGGTGAATCAAGCTTAAACAGTCAATTTGTTCAGAAAAAATCAATTTCTATGTGTATAAGGAATCAAAGTACAGTAGAAATGGCTTGATCCTAAAAATAAAGGGCATGCCTCAGATAAACATGGATAGCGGGTTTTTCCTGCACAACACACCTACACACACATATATATATATATTTATAAACTACATTTTGAATACATTCTTTTAGAAGAATGATTTTTTTTTCAAAAAGAGATTTTCCCAGATTTGGGACTTGTGAAAAGAATGGTTACCACATAAAAAAAAAAAAACACAAAAAAAACACCATGAGTTCTAACCCAAAATTTGACCCATGCAAGTAGTTATGAATTTTCTTAAAACCTGCCTTAAATTGAATAGCAGCTACTCGATCAGAAATATTCACGTTTTAGCATAGGTCGTTCAACTGTATTTTTCACAATATGTTCTGAGTACAAAAAAAGACTACATGAAAAGCTGGCTTTTGTTGTGTAGACACAGATTTGTAAATGGAAAAAAACGTAGCCTCAAACCCAATTCGAATATTTTTTTTTTAAAAATGTGAAGCCCACATAGTCCACTTTATCATGTATATTCCAATTTTAGTGCTGTTTTTTTTTTTTTAAATTTGACACATGTAATATTACATCGGTTATTCATTGTACAAAAATATCACCCATTGCCACCGTACGCTACTGTACATTGCTACCTTATATGCACTGTATGAAAGTACTCATATGCACTAAAAGTAGAAATTAGAGATAATCTTAAGCAAGGAGTTGTGCAATGATGAGGAAATGTGAATGTGTGACTATTTTGGCAGTTTTACTTGTTACAACGTCAATATGGCTTCAATAGGTTCATTTCAAATACATATTTAATTATAGTTTCTCTTGTACTACACTACATTACAGTTCCCTGATTCAACAAATGTCAATCCTCGGCGTTTTTAAATAAGATTTTTTATTTCTCAGCTTTGCTAAAAATTTGTTATTTTGAACGGAGACAGCAAGTGAACAAGTAATACTGAAGTCATATTTGAATCTCGTTTGGAATCATTGACGATTCCACAATGAAATAATTTCAAAAAGTTTTACCTCTAATAAACTAACCATACTCATGAACTATCTTCGCATTATCAAAAATGTACAACAGTACAAATACGGGAATAGGGGAGGGGGTAATGGATTGGTATGCAGTGGAAACCATGAATGAATAATATATCAATATACATGTGATCATCAGATGGTAATATCATATTTCTATATTGCAATGAGTATCAGTTCCTGTATACGATATTCTGTTCGTTTATGAAGATTATTATGAATCTCCGTTCCACTGCCAAATTTTCTGAATTGGATTTTTTATCATCATGAAATAAATAATTTACAAATAGAAACCTATAAAAAAGATCATGAAGAAAAAAAGAAAATGAAAGAAACCTGCAACTGTGGTTTGGGAGTAGAAATGCAACGAGACCAGAACAACAACCAACTGCTGACTATTTTCTTGTTTAACCCCAGTTATCGTAAACAAAAACTATAAAAAAAGTGTTTTGGTTACTTTCATAATTTACGTGTTTTACCGTGATTGTGAAATGTTATTCATTGTGTATTAGTGTCATTGTGAAATATATGACGTATTTTTATGTTTGTAGAAAGTGCATCTCGATGTTAGGTTTAAACTGTGCAGTTCGTGATTATGCATTCAGCAGGTTATCGTGGAGTTCAGTTGATTTACATAATGGCTTTTTTCTAAGCGGAATTGTACGATAACTGTGAAGTGTTTTGTTGAATTGAAAAGTTAATTTTGCATTAACTCTATATCGCAAAGTGGAAAGCAGTGCCTACATGTATTTTTATATTTTTAACAGGTGTGCCTTATTGTTTTGTTGTCGCCTACAAAGTTCTCGAGAAACATAAGTTACTTTACTTGGATTTGACATGTAATTACACCGCGAGTTTAGTCGATGAAAAAGAAGACGCTTACTCCTCGGGAACATATGGCCTTGTTCTCCTTGTTCTTTGAAAAATATTACCCCACGGATCTTTCCTTTGGTGATATCTTGTTCTGGTTATACGGTTTTGAGTTCGAATTCAGGTTTCGTTGATACTTCCTCGATATTCTCTGCAAGATTACTGCCATTTGTTAATAGGGACTCAGTATGGTTTAAAAATGGCGCTGAACGTGTATTTGTCGCAACTTATTCCTTTTTACTACATAATGTTTATTGCAACCATTTCCTGACCCGGTTTATACAAGCTGTCTCTGCAACTACAGAAGCTTCAATCGTTTCTTTAGTGGATGACCTTACTGTATGGGTCGACAATACCTCCTTATTAGGAAAGTATATTCAAGATACACCGCCGCAAATCTCAAAATACATGGTTATCTCCATTAAATTCAGTTAAAACTACCTACAGAAACAACAACTTAAACACATTCACAGTGAAGTTAAATTAACATTGTTCGTTTTTGGGGACAGACTATTGTTCGTGACGTCATTAACAATCGGTTCTATTACGTGTCGGGTTTAGTCGGGGTAATTGACGTCATTAGCCATTGTCGACTGGGCTTCATTTGCAATGAGAAATCTGTGACTATATCGTCGTTTTACCGTCACAAATTATATCAATTGACCAATAAATTAGTACGTTTATTTACCACTCACTTTCGGTTGCTACATGTAGCCGTGCGTTTTGTCGTCCATATTAATATCGTCTTTTTCTTTATTTGGTTTATTTACTAAAATTGTAGGGATTCTCGCGTTCTAATATTAATCCAGCTAATCCAAACTACATGTAAAACAATTTTATTTTTATTTTACTTCTTATCTTTCGTACTGAGCGAATCTATAGATATAGACAAGGAGATTAATTTAATTATCCAATCTTATTTTTACAAGAAATATAAAACATACAATCCCATCTCATTTTGTCAAGGAATATGAAATATATTATCCCATCTCATTTTGATAAGGAATATAAAATAATCAATCCGTCTTATTTTGACAAGTAATATAAAATAAATAATTCCGTCTTATTTTGACAAGGAATATAAACAAATTATTTATGTGATCTGTGATACAAAGTTACGTGATCTGATTTGTTCTTGTAATGTTAAGCATCGGATATCTTTGACTAAGTTTTCTTTATGTGTCTGTTTCAATAATAATGAAAGAATACGTTCACATATGACAACATACCTTTTTTCGTCCAGGTAAATTGTAAATC